CTGTTTTTTACTATTTGCTTCTTCAAGAGCTTCGAATTTTAATGACCTGCTGGAATTACAGAGCTGGGATTGGGACAGGAACAGCTCCCCTGAAGATTTTGTCATTCCAGGGGAAAGGAACAACCCCCTTGAAAATTTTCTGTTTGGAAAGCTGCTCGGATAGGGGAAGTTTTCATCTGGAGAAATGCTATGGCATGAACTTGTTCTTGTCTGCCAGAAGAGATGTGCTCACAAAAATCCTGGATGAGTGGGAGCTGCCTCCCTGAGCTTGCTGTGTTTTTATGGAATGATTTCAGGATTTATTCAGTCTCCTTGCTTGTTTTATCCAATGAATTACTGGACTGGCTCGTTATCATGATGCAAACAATGCCGCTGATTCATGAGAAATGTGAGAATGTGCTGCTGTGAAAATTTATGATGAAATTCTCAGATTCTTGGGCTTTATAAAAACAGGTAATTTTTTTTGTTTACTTTAGAAGATGAGTAAATCATGTGCATCATATGGAGAGTATAACACTACAGATTCACTTGTGGTACCTGGAAATAAAACCCAGAAAAATGTAAAAATACAATGTCTCTTTTTTCCCCTAACCCTTTTCTCCTGACTTTTCACCTTTTACACTCTCCCTGTTGCGTCTGAAACATGAACTCCTGAGCTCTAAATAACGTGCTGGATTTGGCTGGGACTGCTTTTGTTCCAAATTCCATGACTTTTTAGCCTTCAAAGCACCAGATTCCTGTGCTGTCAGCTTCCTAAGTGGGCAGGAGCTGCACTGGGATGAGCTTGGGAATGAGAATTAAGGTTTGGAATCCTCGGGAGAAGAAGGGAGTAGAGCAGGACACACGGGGTGACACAAATCCACATTTTCCACCCACACTGAGTTGAGTTTTGGGACTTTTTCCAAGCTCCTGGAATGTCCTCTCCCTCCAGAGGATGGATTGTAGGTGGCAATCCAGGGATTTCGGGAATGAGGCTTGGTCACAGGAGGGGACAAAACAAAGTGAAGACATTAATTATGTCATTGGTCACCTCAGCTGCTTTCTCAGTTTGTAATTATGGGGAAATAAGGTAGGAAATGAAAATAATTTCTGTGGGAAAATGAGGTCAGTCGCGCTCAAACTCACAAATCTTTTAACAATGCCCAAGTATCTCTAAGTTTGTAAAATAAAAAATAAAATCTATTCAATACTTTCAAATTTGGATCCAGCTGGACATTTTATTCAAGTAATGGTGGAAGTAGTAATTAGTGTAGATTTGCTTTTCTGCTTAGCCTGTATAATATATTTACTGATATTTATCAATATAATTTGTATTTACTGATGTTTAGGAACAAGAGGGAACACGTAGTATTTCAATTGCATCAATCATTAGACTATTTATGGAGACAGGGATTTTTTTTCCAGCCTGTCAGTCCCTGAGACAGAAACACAGGCAGGACTTTGCATTACAGGTGCAAAATCTGTATTTCTCAAGACTGTGCAAATAAATATTGCTCAAGATGTGGCTGGGAGTGAGCCCAGGGCAGCAGCAGGTCACCCTCAATTCCAGCAGAGGATTCCACAAGGACATCCTGAGAATTTCTGGACATTGTGGAATCCCAGATTCTGGAATCCCAGAGCAGGCTGGAGGAGCAGGAGCTGTGCCCTGTTTGTGCTACTGCTGCCCTTTCCCACCCCGTGTTCCTGGGTGCCTCTTCTGCAGGGATTGGGGAAGGATTGGGGGTAGGATTGGGGCAGGATCGGGGCAGGATTGCAGTAGGATTGGGGTAGG